GAGCCGAACTACTCGCGAGCTGCTCGGTCAATGGCTTGGCTTGAACTCGATTTGATCGAGTTCGAGCCGAGTCTCGAGCTATTCGAACGTACTTTCGAGTCGAGTTTCGAGTCAATATTTTGGGGCTTGTGGCTCGTCGAGCTACTCGTCAAGTCGGGATATATTTAAATAATATATATATATTATAATTATAAAATGACTGTTATGGGTATAATTTATACTGAATTTACAATATACTCTTCTTTATAATAAAATCCATAATGGCAGAATTGTACATTTTCCGAGTCGAGTCAAAAAGCTTGATTAGACTCGGCTTGATAAGGCTTTAACTAAAGGTCGAGCCTTATCGAGTCGAGTCTCGGGTTTATAGGGATTTTCTCAAGTTACGATTTTTTAGGCTCAGTCGAGCTCAGGCTCGAGTTCGAGCCTAGTTACATAAGGGTCGAGTCGAGCTCGAGTATAGCAATACTCGAGTATAGCAATACTCGAGCTCGACTTGACTCGATTACATCCCTAATTCCCCCAATTTGCAGGTTGCCAACTGAATTGTTACTTGCACTCTTAACTCAGTGGCCACCACCAAAGTTGGTGGAGTGGGAGGTCTGAGGATCAAACCTTGCCTCCCACCATTGGCCACAAAAAATGTGGCAAGCCACTTCGAGTGGCTTCCAGACGAGAGCGTCGTGCACTCGTCTGGACCAGTAGGTGGTTCAGTCCCCTCCAATTTTTCTCGACCTGTTCAGGTTCTCCTCTTCCCGTAGCATAAAAATACAAAAATTGTAAATCTATCATATCGAAAAAAAAAAAGAGCATCCGCTATCAACTTTTTATATGCACTTTTGTTATATGCGTTGAATGGGATTACAAATCCCACATTATCCAATTCATGAACCAAAAGGAGCGTTCCTAAGTATATGAATGATGTTATACGAAACTCCCCAGGTTTGATTGGCGAGTTCAATGGACGGATATTATCAAACCTAAAATCAATTTTAATTTAGGCATTAATTACAAAGCTAATGCATCTCACACATTTAATACAAAAATAATTTCTTTTGTTACCGGAATCTATTTTATATTTTTCTCTTTTTTCTCCTCAAGATACCATCTTTCTAGTACAAAAAAATTACATAGTTAAACTACCTAAACGTCAAGAACCATATTCTGCCATTTGTAGAAAATGATAAATATAAAAAGGGAAAATGGCCAATTTCATCTCTAAACTTTTTTGCTCATACCGATTTAGCTTCTAACTTTTATTTCTAGTCAATTTAATACTTGAACTTATTTTACAGTTCTAATTAAGAACTCTATGGTGGCATCACTATTTAAAACTGATTTGGCTCCAAATTGACTAACTATACAAGGGTTTTTTTGGAAATATCACTCACAAAAATGTAATAAAACAAATAAATTGTGTAAAAATATCAGACAGAGCTTTTAAATCGTGTAAAAAATCACCCGATGAAACTTCTTTAAAGTATAATCTTGAAGCTTCTTACATGATTTATTACATTCCCAAAATACCTCTGTTTAGCTAGTCAATTAGGAGCCATATTAGTTTTAAGTGATAGCGCCGTCATAAAGATCCTTAATTGAAATCGCAAAATAAGTTCACGTATCAAATTGGTTATGAATAAAAGTTTGGGACCAAATCGGCACTAAAAAAAAGTTTACGGACTAAATTGGCTATTTTTTCATTCAGAAATCCATCACTGCACCTATGATGGGTCCGAAATCTGCGTGCTCAGAAGCTGGCTACTTTCATCTTGTAAGAAGCTACTTAATAATTGCCCAAAGCCTATGATGTTACGATTGACTTGACAATCGACTTCCCATGGCAACTCCCAGAATTTTAATGCTTCCTTCAAATCAAATCTAAGATAGCAGTTTGTTGGAGCACTACTTTTACTCTGTATCAGCCAAATTTCTCGAGACAGGTTTTGAACATAGCTTCGGTCAATTTGAATGAAATTACCCACAACTCTCCTGACTGTCAGATTCCATGCAGGTTCTTGGAAGTAGAGTTGGATCATGCATGCAGTAGCAGTATAGGCTACCTGTGAAGCCTCTTTTGCGATCCATGTGCGTTTGTAAACAATGGCGGTCTTGGATATCCGATCCCAAATTCAGCGTCTCCAGAAAAGGAAGAAAACGAGCCTTAATCATGCTCATCCCAGGGGTTGATCATGATGATGGGAGGAAAGCCTGTTTTTATTCTATGGACGATCAAGTTTTTGTTCAGGAACTTCCAAAACCAATCCAAAATACTTCCAAGTATCCAATGTTTTCGATTGATGAGTTCATGTGAGTGGCTGTTGCTCTTCAGTGTTCTCACTGGTAATAACTTGATGGATAAACTTGATATCCATGTGCTTATGGAACCTTCAACCAGATGTCGCAACGAAGTGCTACAAATTGATCTTTATGAGAGCTTCAAAATCTCGTCAGTCAGAAAAATATTAGCCGGGCTTTGTTATGATGAGAGCGCTCTGATGGCCACAAAGCAGTTCTATATATCCGCAGAATGAGAAAACAGGAAGCAACCGAGGTACCTGAAAGTCTTGTTCTTGTTGCTAGTTTGAGAAGCAAAAAATTGAATTTGATAAATTTCCCTTCCAGTCGGGTAGATCAGGCCCTTTCCTCGACGGGCGCCTGCATTGGATAGTTAAATATACCAGTGACGATTCCTACTCCATCATTTATTTTGATGCAAAAACCAACAGATTTCCCAATCATCCAATTCCAGAGCCTGCTTTGCATAATCAAGGAGATTTAGATGTTACGGTGCATTGGGGGACTGGGAGTTTTAGATGAATGTCTAAGCAGCATGTTTGGGCCTGGAAAGTCAGGAGATCAAATGGATGTCTCGACCATGAGAGAATATGGCGTGAAGGAGTCTTGAACAATTTTATTTAGCTTATCAAGGGAAGAAAAATGGTTTCTACTAGGCCAATGTACACTATATATAAAAGTCTCATGAATGACTGATTTACGCATTAGTGTTTCTGGCTCATAAATATGAAAGATATGAAGTATGAACTAATATGAACTAAAAAAATTGTTCAAAAATGTTAGAACTTGAAAATTAAAACTTTGATCCTTGGTCGACACCTATTCTTTGTGACCTGCTGATTTCTTTTTTCTTTTTTTGGTGACCTGCTGATTAATTACTTCTTTGTTTGCATATCATAAATGGATCAACTCTTTGTGATCTAGCTACTTACTTCTTCCTTTGAGAATATCCTTTATTAACTATTAAGACGCAAGAAGAGTTTCTCCTTGATCAAATCAAGGTTGGTTCCGGGAAACGGCTACGCGAGGGACGGGTATACCAATCGATTTACTTACTAAGCATCTCTATCGTTCAGATGATTTGGATGTAGAAATAGACGAACCAGACATGGTTTTCAAGGGTTTAACTGTACATGAATTGGAAGGCCTTTATGAGGACATAAAGATGCATCTCGACTTGGACAAGGCAACGCCAAGACACATGCAGTATTGGCAGCCACTGCTCGTGGTTTGTGATTGGGAACTATCTGAAGCTAGAAAAAGGGACTCATCTGATCGAGCCATTGTGCGTGGAGAGCAACTTCCTCCTGAACTGCTTGCCAAAGAGCAAGGAATGCATTGAAGTATCGAATCATATGTGCAGAGACTTCTGCAGGGGAAATCTTATCGCGAACTGGAAGCTCTAAGGTCTCAGGTTGAGGCGCAGATGCAGTCTGGTACAGCTAAGGTGGTCGAATTTTGGGAAGTTCTTCTTAGGCGCATTGATATCTTCAAGGGTAAGGCTTGTCTTGAGGAAATCCACGCCGAAGTACTTAGCAGACACCTCCAGCACCTTGAGAAACCAATAGAATTCGGAGACTGTGAGATAGACTTCAGTCCAAAGCCTGACAATAGAGGAGGACCCAGTCTGTCATGACGGGAAAGATGTTCAAGTTCTCTTGCCACAATGTACAAGGCGTGAAGAGAATCCAGAAAAGCATCGCCAAGAATTGGGGGCTGGGCCCCTGCTCCTGATGATAACTTTGAGAAGAAAGCAATGGGAGCCATGGAAGAAGGTGATGCAATTTTTGGCTGGAAACATGAAATTAATCTTGATTCACAGGTCTACTGGTGGCGTGCCAAGTACAGTCCAAGAAAGCCCCAGTATTTTAATCGTGTTCATACGGGGTATGAGTGGAATAAATACAAACGCAACCACTATGACCATGATAGCCCACAGCCAAAAATTGTACAAGGGTACAAATTCAACATTTTCTATCCAGATCTTGCTGATAAAGAGAAAGCTCCGACTTATGCCATCGAGAAGGATGGCAACAGTTTAGAGACCTGCATCATCAGGTTCCCTTCAGGGCCACCTTATGAAGACATAGCATTTCGGGTAGTTAACAAACAAAGGGATTATTCCCATAAGAAGGGGTTCAAGTGCACTTTTGGACAAGGAGTCCTACGTTTGTACTTCAACTTCAAAAGGTATCAGTACCGGAGGTGATTGATCCTTGGATATCTGGTTCGATCGAGGAATGCTTTGTTGTAATTTTTCTCTTCTTGACAATATTGTAACACCATCCATCATTGGTATGTTATACGTGAAGAACAAAAATTCACAGTTGAAAGCGAATACAGCAAAATGTTTATTTACTGGGAGTAAACACAGTAGTAGACTAGGTAGAGCTATAATACAAAACGAAGAGTAATATATAGTTTATGGATGTCTATGTTTTGATAAGGTAGAGTTATAATGCAAAATACAAATACATTAGCTAACAAGAGCCTCTCAGCTTTGGAATTTTTCCAGTAGCAATAACAATTGTCTTTAACTATCTCCTCTCTGACAATATCGTTTCAGCATTTATAGAAGCAGACATAACTCAGATTGACATAAATCTTTAGTGAAAATGACAGATCCAGTTTCAAATTGAGGAATATTGCATGTATAAAAAATCCAGCCTAAATTCGACCAGAAATATTAGGTTTGTAATTCAAGATTAAGAAAAGCCTTGAGTTTAAAAGAAAAAATGTTCAGGAATGTGACGATGTGAGATGCAAGAAAGATATGGATGATGGTTTCCTGCTTAAGACCTAAACTTTAATTCACCAAAGAACGGAGGACATTTCGGTTTCTGATACTACTCGTTTATACCTATATAATCTGAAAAACAAGTCATTCTCGGATATTCCTCTCCCAAACAATCTCCCCGATGGAAAAAGTTATTACGTTTATTTTAATTATGTCGAAAGTCTAACACCAGTTCTTAGACATGGTCCGAACTGCATGAAGCCCTGGAGCAGAACCCATGAAGTCCAAAATGTACATTGTCATGTTGAAATCAGCTCGATTAACACTGTGTAATCCAATAGAAGTCCTTCTAATTTGAATTACTGCATATCAAAAATCAATCTGTGGGATTTAGGTACCTAAACGTAATAGGAAGTTACTCTCTGATTAAATTATGTAGCTTTTCTTTAGGTAATCATCTTTGTAGTATCTAATGAGTATCTTTCTCGCAGAAAATTGATAATATGCTTTATCAAAACTGAGATAATGACTTGAAACCAGCACTATTTATGATTTCCATTAAAATCTCATCGAACCAACTTTGTCCTAGGAGCTGTGTCTAAGACCTTTAGCTATAACATCCAATTCCAATCTGTTGTCCTCGGGGATCCCTGCAAGATGCCAAAGCAAAGATATACTTTGAAGTAAAGATGGGTAGGGTTGTTGATCTGTCCGTTCTGGGTTGTGCTTTTGCATAACCAAAATTAGCTGCAAGATTCTTTTCAACAAATGAGGAAACAAAGAAAAGAAAAACTAACAAAGAAACAGGAAGTCAGACGTAGATGATTTTTCCATCTCCTGATCTTTCATATGGTGCCTATAGCCTGATAACTACAAAAGAATAACCAACACAAATTCAAGCATTGGAGAAAGCACATTAATCTTTCAGCGAATAGAGATGTTAAAAACAAATGGTTATCAACAGTTGGCGACAAATTTGACAAGAAAGTATCAGCTTTCTTCTGATAATTTGCAGTACATAAACTGCTGTAGATTTATGCTCCAGGTTGATGAGCTAAAAATATAACGTTTTCTATACTGAGAGCATGTCAAAAAGACAAACGATGACACTTGTTAGGTGACAAGAGTTAAAACATTTTTTAAGCTTTCTAAGGAGAGAGGATGTCTTGAAGTCAGATTTTATAAAAACGTTGGTAAGTCTGTCTATTTTGTGGTTTTTTTGAGGCGTTAATTTGGTTTCTTGCTCTTGGATGCAAGCTACAAGAGCATTAATCAGAATAATCCTCACTATTATAATCAACAACTAGTGGGGTGGCATCAGCAACTTCAATAGCAGTCCATGGAAGTTGCAACTTGATGGAAATGAAGTTCACATCTGGATAACATCAATGTATAGATCACAAAAGATACAACTAAATTTCTAAAAGCAAAATTCGGAAGACGAAACAAACGATGACTGGAAAAAAATTGGTACCCTTTTCAGAATTTCCCAAGATTTTGCTCCTCTATCAATCAGCTGATCCCAAAAGTGGCAACAATTAATCCAGTCTTGTATTTCATATTGATTGTACAAGTACAACTAGTAAGAATTTTGCTTCATCTTTTGGTCTTTACCAAATTATGGACCAAGTACACTGGCTAGTTTTTGCATATTAATGCATGACTTCCTAATGTTGTCAAGTTCTCTACCCCAGTGTGCTGGAGCTGATTTGTCTGCCATCTGCCATACTTAATCATACCATATTTTTTATCTTGTTAAACCATATGATCAACCAGGTAAGCCAAGGGTGTCATTATTTAAATCTCCTATTATTGTCATATAAATGTTGTTTAATACTTGATATAGGTTTATTCCCATTTATATACGCAGCAAATCCTCAAGCCCATCTCCATGGATGGTAGCATGGACGCTCAAAGCTCAAAAGTACAATCTCAGTCCCAAGATCCATTTACAAGTCTACCCTTGCTGCCTATGATGGCAACAGCAACCCCTCCTGAAAGTATTGAAGTGCAAGTAGACATGGAAAGTCCAAGACGAGAAAATATTACCATCCATGGAAGAAGAAGATTTTTAGGAGTTAGACAAAGGCCTTCGGGAAGATGGGTAGCTGAAATCAAGGATTCATCTCAGAAGCTGAGGCTGTGGCTGGGGACTTTTGACAGAGCTGAAGAAGCAGCCTTGGCTTATGACAATGCATCTAGACTTCTAAGGGGAAGAAATGCTAAGACAAACTTTACATACAATGGAACCATGGATACTCGCGAAGAAAATCTTAGTTTGCTGGGAAAGGATCCAAGGCTTTATCAGCTTCTTAAACATGCCATCACGAAGAACCTGGCGAAATCCTCAGCTCTCGATTCTTCAAAATCTACGCGGAATTTTACTGATCAGAGTGTCGTTGAAGGAGAAAGCAGCCCTGTTGATCATGTTGTAACAACAGTTGAAGATAATATAATTGGAAATGAAGATCATGATCAGTCTCAAGAAAAACGTGAGCTCCGCGGGATCTCACTTGGCAGCTCAAAGGTGTATTCTTCTGTTATTGTGGCTCCTTCTTTCAGCGCTTCTTTAAGTCAAGGAAGAGAAGAACCAGAGAACAATTCTCAGGGGACTCTGTTTAATTCACTGTTTTATCAGACAAATGTAATGTCCCACCACAAACTAGTATAACCTACTGTTTGTTAATAATCTAAATCAGGCTTCTTTCACCTGAAAGTTAAACATGTTTTCTTCCAGTTCAAGGCAGAAACTATAGGAATTTGAGGTGTGCTTTTCTTGGCAGTGCATTTCTTTCCATGTTCCTCAGCTAGTTTAGCATCCATTTCAATTTCGAGCCATTTTAGATTTCTTCCTTGGTTGCTTTATCCTCCAGTTTGCATTTTAGTTCACCCTTTTTTTTACCATTTCCTGTTAAAAGTCCAATAAGATTTATGTTAGTTCTTCTTCAAGTAAGATAACATCACTTTAATTTCTTAATTTATTTGCTGCAGAATATTTTTCCTCTAGTGTCGGTGGTAATGTAAAATTATAAATGGATTTAACCTGAAAAGTCAAACTATGTGATGAAAGTAATCCAAAGTATTTGGCTACTTATAAGCACTAATCCATCAGTTGACCCTCAAATTATGACTTTATGTTTCACTATTTTCGAATTAACTCATGTTTAGTTTACTTCTAGAGTTCAATTTCATTAAGAGGTTTCTAAAATCCTATTCAAACTAAATTAACTGCTACCCAAAATGGTAATCAGTTACATTTTCATGGCGTCATCTGAGAATATGGTGATCCCTTTTTTTTTTTTTTTTTTTTTTTGAGTTTGTCTAATTATTGGAACTTATCCATTAGATGACGTGAAACTATGGTGATTTTACATCACCCAATAAATTGTCTTCCACAAAATAAAAAAAAGGTAAAAATTGAAAGTCACAAGCACATGATAACACAAACTAAGGCTCTATTTGATAATCCAGTTCAACACATAAAACTTAATGGATTCAGATCTTTATATATTCAAGCCGTTTGATAATAAAAATTGAACATCTGAATTAATTAAACGGCACTAAATATTCTAGACAAAACTTACTCCCAAAATTAAGTGATAAGTTATTCACTTATTACTAAATGTAATATACATTCAAATGTATTAGATTTAATACTTAATAATTTAATAATTTAATAAATTCAAACTTTGATTTTCAGATTTCAAACTTTAGTTTTGAGATTTCAGTTTTATGGAACGCATCCTAAATTATAATCGCCTTCTTGATTTTAATATTTTCATATGAGTATCTATCACTCATCACTCATGAATGACGTGATTTTCTGACACTTGTAAATGAATTCATTAATATATATGAGATTCACTGGAGTTATCTCCAGCCCACTTTCGTCATCATCTACATTCATACTTTCTAACCGCAAAAAGGACCGCTGGTCCAACAACAATAAAAAACTTATCCTTTTGCGAGTAGTGTGAACGGATAAGACTCCAACTGAGGCAAAACAAACAAATCAGGCCTAGTATCCGGTGATGGGTTTTTGGGGACATCAGATATCAGCCCTTCTGAATTTTTTACAAAATTTTCTCTTTTCCCTATTCCTGTGACAAGACTTGAAATCTTCTTTAAACCCAAAAAAAAAAAAATCAAATACTCTTCACTGTGTACCTTGAGATGTTTTGTAAACTTTCTTACTGTATTACTGTATTTTTTTTAAGATTAATTTTCTATATACTGACAGTGCATGTATTTTCATCATTAGATGTACGACACATAATTCGAATTTGAATGTGAAACTCAAAATTTGCATATGTGTCGTATATCCAATTGTGATAGCGTATACACCGTCTTTAAGATTTACTTTTTTTTTTATAGATAATCAAATTTCATTAACAAATTATTAAAAATCGTCCAGCACAATTTAATCTACATCACTGCTCTCTAATGACAGATTAAACATGCAGTCAGTATTACTGTATAGCTGACACTTGAGATGCATTTGCGATCGCTATCCATCTTACTTTGTAATGCATCATATAGAACTGAATAATTGTAATAGTGACGATTATTAGCACGCCATTGCTATCTTTACTTGTCACAACCGCATAGATATTTAAAATTATCTCATCAGCGTAGCCATCATCATTAAGATGGCTTACTTTTTGTCACGTTGCTCCATCCACTACAAGGCTCCTTAAATTAATGTCAATGCCTAGCATCATTTCATACTTCTTATCACCCTCATTTCACCAACGACACATCATTCATTTGGGATGCACCAATATAAAGTAGAAAAGCACAAATCTGCTGTAGTAATGTAACAGCCTAATCTTTTTCACCAATTCCTCATCTGCCTTTCAAAAGATGGTTGCTTTTTGTCAAGGAAAAGAACTTTGAAGAAGCAAAAGGGCTAAGAGAAAAGGAAATATCGATGGTGGGAATTTGTTATCCACAAATTGAATGGTCCTCAAATCATGGGCATCAGCATTCCATTTCCCTAGATGGATCAGAATGATGAAGACGCAAGCGTAGGAGGATCTTCCTTGAAGCAAATGAAGTCCCATACAGGATTGGATTTGGTTGATAGACCCAATAAATGCTTGACTGGAATTTTCAGGTTTTGGCATTGCGAATTTGATGCCAGATCCCATAAGGGTTGAATTCAAGCTTCATAGATTCTCTGGCAATTTGGTACACCCCATCCATAATCCATTGTAGTAGCTCACTTCCATGGGAACACAATATAATGACGCAAGGCATTTGTGTTCCCCATCACCTAAGCTTCCCTTTTAAGCAAAACGAACAACGCCAAAGTAATATACTTTTGACCGCACACCCTTTGACAATGACAATCAATTGGTAAAAGAATTTGGTTCTCTTTTTGTCCTCCAAACTCTATAGGGTATTGAATGGCATGATTTTTTTAGGTTGTTCAGAGAAGTCATGGTTCTATTGGACCACCACTTTGATCTTTTTTTGTAAGTTAAAAATCTCAACGTAAAACTCCATTTAGTACTTAAAAAATTGCTGTAAATCTGAAAAATTTTAATTGACTTTTGGATAGTGTTGAACTAGTAATGGCAAACCTTACTACTAGAGTTCAATTTTCATTCCATTTCCCCAATTCAGCTAATTTTTCCCACGAGACAACAATAATATTAGTAAAAGCTACAATATTTTATTTTATGGGATATTTTATTTCAAGAAAGAAGCCAAAAGCCATGCACATTAAACAAAATTACAAGCCCTTTCATTCATGTCATTCCATACTTATTCCGATTCAAACATCTCATGATTCTTTTTTCTACAGTAAACTATCAAGGACAAGAATCGGGCATGGTAGGATAAAAAGAAGGATAGGAAAGAGTGAAATGAACCCCGAGGCAACCCTTTTTACCTCTAATGAAATACAAACAAATACCAGTACAAACTCCCAAGGACAATTAGCAAGGCAACAAGCTGTTTCAAGGTGACAAAACTAGATAGAAATTAGCAAATTATGTAGAAAAAGGTTTGCCAGTTGACAAGATTTACAGCTAATCTGAAATCAACCTTTCATAGAAAAAGCAACCAAATGGCTAGGCTTCTCAAGTACCGCCAAACAAAGAGCCCACATAATTAAAAGAGTGACAAATCATCTACAGCACAAAGTTTAGTTTCCTGTCTTCATAATTAGATTATAGTAGTAGTTAATATATAGATAATAATAGACATACTAACTAATTGCACTTACATGGCATGTATAGGTTACTTTTATCAGATTAAGGTTAGAGAACACACATGATACCCTCCAAGAAATATGTACATACATATACAAGGAAGGATAAGGTGTTTGCAACAAAAGCTAAGTATAAATAATAAATACTAGTAGTAGTAGTAATTAATGGGAGCTAATCATGGACGACCCAAAAATACAACCGTGCATGCATGTAAATTATTGGGTAGGGGAAAGTCTACCATTATTCAGTGGTGGCCTCTTTGATTACTGAAACAAACAAATATATAATTAAAAAAATGCACCAATGAAAATACATAAAGAGTTATTTCCCAGTTCCCCATATGTCTATTCGGGAGTTTGACTTGGACTTTTGAGATCCAACGCTCCTCCACAAGGCCATTTTATCCAACGTGAAAGACAAAAAAACACAATACACAAGAAGAAAAATATCATAAAACGTTTTACCAAAGAATTAAAGAGAACAAAACAGCAAAGAAAATACCAAAAAAAAAAAAAAGATGAACGGAAAAAGATCGTTCAAGAACATGATGGTAGTAAAAGAAAGAAAGAATAATAAGAGAATGCAAATGGAGAAAGGGTTAAGCGCTGGATGCAGAGGTTTATCGACCGATTCCTGTTCCAATACTCTTTTTTTTTTCTCTTTTTCTCATGCTTGGATTTCAGGGAACAGATCGATGAACCGCTGCCTCCAGTGTCCTCAAGCCTTCCACTATCCACAAGAGCCAACTCATGACACAAAAAAAAGAAACTGAAATAATCACATAAACCGACGAAAAATCAGCATTCCCACAGATCTTTTCAATGGGTTTTCAGCACAGATCTGAGATATTCAAGAATTAGAGATTCATACATGGCTACAAACAGGGAGAAAAACTCGTACTCATCAACCAAAAAGAAAAGTCTTCTTCCCAGCCCACTTTACACAACAAAATAAGCGAACCCGCAAAAAATCTAACAAATCAGGGATAGAGAACAGGGGGCAAAGGGGGCATGGGATAAAAGTATACCCATAATCCATAGCTGCTGCATCCGCTGCTCAGTGCTCTCAATCGTTTATGTAATTGCAGTGACAGATACTCTGTGTGTGTTTTGTGCGTGATTTGGGTCTGTGGGTGAGCTGTCATATTATAAGGCGTGGCCTGGAGTTTGATGTGGATTTACTAGTTTAACCATGTGTATTCATTTGGAGAATGCGGTTAGGTGGAATTATGGGAGGTTAGTTTGGTCAAATAGCGCATGGAGAAGCTGAAGTGTCGGGGTGAAATTGGAGTATGGGGGGACGGGGTCCATGCTGGAGAGTTAGGCAGAAAAATACACGTGTTCGGATACTGTTTAAGGAATCCTCTGTCTCGGGGGCCAGAGCGACGGCCCATGTGACCATATAATCACCAATCACATTAACTTAAGCCTCCTAAGTCCTGCCTAATTGATCGAACCTTCCGTTCCCAAAAAATACGTCTTACTGTATAATAAAGCGTGGGATTATAATATATCCTTATATATATTATATATTATATATATTATATAAGAACGAGTTTAGGACTAGATTTCAACCGCAGGGGTGAGGCTATTTTGGGAATGTGAGAGTGTTTGAAGAGTACTTGGAACACTGAGTACAAGTTATTATAGCTTTAATTTCACTATA